ATTTTTAACTACAAAATAATTATTCAATTTTAAATTAGATAAATTTTGTCAAAATTCGATCTTTAAATGCTTATAAAAACAATTGTGCCTATGTATTTTTAATATTTTTCAATTGCTATTGTAACAATATATCGGGAGCCTTGTATTTAATTTTTACACTTTTTGGCCCAACAGATAAAAGTGTATTGATATTTATAGAATAAAAAACTAAAAAAATGGGAAACTGAAAATGTCCGTAAACAGTTCAAAAAATATCAAAATATTTTCAAAATTGTATGGTGTATAGAAAATTCTAATATAAATATTCAGTGAAATTTTCATGAATCTACAGTCATTTGTTTTTGAATTACAACAAAATAAGGAAATCGCTACATGAGAAATCGAGTGAATATCCAATGTTGTAAAAATTTGAATTTCAAACGCTCATAAAAATTTAATTTGACTTTCTTATAGACATTTTTTTTTGATAAAGGTAGATAATTTTATAAGGAATCTTCTATTACATGTTCACATCTTAGATTTAAAAAGAAAAATTTTTACGAATTCTTAACTCAAAATAATTTGCTAATTTTCGTGTATTTTCCATATTTTGTCAATTTTTGAACTTTAAATGCTTATAAAAAAAAATTGCGACTAAGGATTTTTAATATTTTTCATCTGCCTTTGAAACAATATACTAGTAGCCTTCTATTAAATTTTCAAGCTTTCGCAACCAACAAATAAAATGTTATTGCTATTTTTAGAAAAAAAACTAAAAAAAATGGAAAATGCAAATGTCCCTAAACAGTTCAAAATAAATCAAAATATTTTGAAAATGTTATCGTGTATATAAAATGCAAATATAAACAACCAGTGAAAATTTCATGTATATACGTTCATTTCTTTTAGAGTTACAACAAATACCAAAATCGATTTTTTAGAAAACCAATTTTGCTAAAAAATTCCCGTTTTTCCTTAATTTTTATGTTGTTTTTCCCGGCGCTAAAGAAAACTACTGAGACATTTACTTTTGACCCCTAAAGTACCAACTAGATTCATTTTTCTATCAGAAAATCTACTGTTGAAGAAAATCCAAGCACTTTTACTGTCCTAAAACGTGATGACAGACACAAAAAAAAAATTAAAAATTAAAAAAAAAACACACATCATTGTAAAATCAATACATCGTTTCACTCAGAATCTAAAAAAAATATTTTAAATTAAAATTAAATACATGTGGTAACAAAACTAGTCCAGCCAAAATTACATTAGAAGTTAACAGAGAACCTAATACATCCATACAAGAGTTGTTGTAACACTTTTTAGAAAAAGTAATTGAGAACAAATACAAACATTTTCATGGGTATTTATATTTTTTTTTAAAAATTTATTTTGTGCTTAATGTTCACTACCGTAGACTAGTATTTATGAATAACTGACAAAAACTAAATTATTTTACATGACTATAATGTCTGATGTTAACGTTGAGGTATGGCCTAAGAATGCCCGCTTAATTTAACGGTTCTGGGTGGGTGGGTGTTTGGTAAATTTTTACTAGTTTGCCACCCCATTTTAAATTGAGTTCGGCGCCACTGCTAAAGATTTTGGGTGAACGGGTGGGCAAAACAGCGGTGACGGTCGTGGATTCCGGAAGTGTTATCTGTGCACAGTGCTTTGGGAAAGGTAGTGTAACAAAGTTTTGAGAAATGGAACTTTCACAGCGAGAGGTCCGTTATTATTATTAACTAGCTGATTTCGTGAACTTCGTTTTGTAAAAATACACTTCTTCTTTTTTGGTTTCGGCTAATTAAGACCATATGCAATTTCACAATGTGTAATAATAAATATTTTGATTGTTTGTTTCATGATGTTTAGAAGAAAAAAATAAGTACGTACAGTTAGAAAAAAATTAATTAAATTGAATTTTTAAATTTTTGATATTCTACTTAGCTCTAGTTTAGTCAATTTGGGTTTAGGACACAAGTTGATACATCAAAAATCAAAATGGCTTGAAAAAAATCGATGAACCCGAATATCATATTCAAATTTCGGGTTGCCATTTAAAAAAAATGTAAGTTTTATTGCGCATGCGCAAGATACATGAGTTAAAAAAAAAAATTGTAAGTAATCGAAATTAAAGATCCAATATAGTCTAATTTAATGTCCCGAAAACAAAATTTAAAAAAATATGTGCAGAGTAATGAGTGGTAAACTGTACTCTGTTTCCGCGGACACACGGTATATATTGACAAAAAATAATAATACAAATCAAAAAAGATGACCGTAACCCATAGCAAACAATAAACAATACCTACACTATTATAATTTTAATTCGCAACTAAATATTATATTCTGAGTGGAACGATGAATGTATTGATTTTACAATGATGTGTGTTTTTATATTTTTTATTTTTGTGTCTGTGAACACGATAATAGCCGAAATGATGCTTCGATTATCAACTTCGGTATCTTGTTCGATTGGATAGCGCCCAGAAAAACAAAAAAAAAAAAAAAAATAAGGAAAAACGGGAAATTTTACGCAAAATCGATTTATCATAAAATTGACTTTAATTTTTGGCGTAACGTTAAAATAAATGACCCTACATACATACATGACATTTTCACTGGTTGTTTATATTTCTATTTTCTATGCACGATAGAATGTTTAAAATATTTTGATTTGTTTTGAACTGTTTAGCGACATTTTCAGTTTCCCATTTTATTAGTTTTTTTTTCTATGGATGTTATTAAAACTTTATTTGTTGAGTAAAATTACTTGAAAATTTAATACAAGGCTCCTACTATACTGTTACAATGACCTTTGAAAAATATTAAAGGTCCTTAATCACAGTTTTTTTTTATAAGCATTTAAAGTTCAAAAATTGACAAAACATGGAAAAATCATGAAAATTAGCAAATTATGAGTTAAGAATTTAGATTTAAATCTAAGATACGAAAATGTAATACAAGATTCTTCATAAGTTTGTCTACTTTTATCAAAAAAAAAAATGTCTATAAGAAAATCAAATTAAATTTTTTTAAGCGTTTGAAATTCAAATTTTTACAACATTGGATATTCACTCGATTTCTCATGTAGCGATTTTCTTATTTTGTTGTAATTCAAAAACGAACAACTGTAGATACATGAAAATTTCACTGAATGTTTATTTTATCAATTCTTATACCTGATAACCTTTTCAAAATATTTTGACTTGTTTTGGGCTGTTTAAGAACAATTTCACACTTCATTTTTTTATTTTTATTTTTCTATGAATATCAATGAAGTTGTATCTGTTGGGCCAAAAAGTGTAAAAATATAATACAAGGCTCCTGATATATTGTTATAATAGCAGTTAAAATATATTAAAAATGCACAGGAACAATTTTTTTTTATAAGCATTTAAAGATCGAATTTCGACAAAATTTAACAAATTTTAAATTGAATAATTATTTTGTTGTTAAAAAGTTATAAATATTAACTTATCTAAGGATTGAAAATTTAAAATAAGTTTCCACGTAAGTAGTTAATTTTGTTACCGAAAAACCTAAAAAAATCCATAAACCCAGTTTACTTTTATAGTCATTTTAATTTTAAATTTGGACGTAATTACATAATAAAAAACCTAGAATAAATATTTTAGTTATTTTGTTGCGATAGTATAATATTATTCGTGGGTACTAGAAACTTATAAAGTATACTACTATATATCTATGACAGTATCACGGTTTGTTATTGATGTATAACGCGTTAAAAGTACCTAACGGATATTGTGATATGATTAATTTGGAATTTATTATAGGTACCCATTATAGGTCAATTTTTTTTTAATACCATAGATATGTATATAATATGTCTTGTACCTCGACTGACATTCCATCTCCACTCAGAAGCGTTTTTCTTATACAATTATATTCTTATTGAATTCAAATTTAATACATTGACCCCATTTTTATTATATAGTTTATCCTATTCAAATCACTCCATCCGTTTAGGATAAGTTCAGTTACAACACACTTACAGTAGAATTAGGTATATATATATATATAAAGATATATTTACCTATATCTTTACTATTATATAAAGAGGAGTCGTTAGTTAGCGTTGTCGAAAGTATTCTCTGGAACTACTGAGCCGATTTCGAAAATTCATTCACCAATAGAAAGCCACATTCTTTGTGAATGTCATAGGCTAATTTAAAAAGGGAATTGATCACCCCCGGTAGGTGCTAAAACAGTAATTTTGAGATTTTCGATAAAAATTTTTGTTTATTAATGGTTGCTATGGGTTATAGGATTTGAGTATAATATTTATTTATTATTATTTTTCTTCAATTTTAATATTAATGGAGTGTTTCAATCTCATTCGTTTCAATCAGTCGAAGTTATGATCAGACAAATACATTCACTTGTGTGACCATGACGCCATGCTACTGAAGGTGACACGGCCAACATTGGTCGTTTGACTTTGACCATTCTTTCAGCTATTTATGTTGGAAGCCCACGCATGCATCATTCAATCACGAATTGCAACGGGAGCAAGACTATGAGATGAGCTGGATGGAAGAGTCGAACAAAGTGCTGAAAAAAAGAGCCAAACACCATCTTCCTCTTTATTTTAACATAATCACAAACCAGTGGAAAACTGGTTCTAAATTTGAATCTTGTAGTGTTGGTAAAACCTAAATGTAGATTAACCTAAAACATATTCTTGTTGTTCGATGTCAAGAGTCATTTTTCATTATGTTCGAATTGTTAAAGTAAAAATGTAATGTGTAATAAAATATGAGAGTAATAAACAGTGGCGGATTTAAGGGGGGGCCGAAGGGCCTCGCCCCCCCCCTCATTGGCATAAGTTAGGTTTTATTATTTTGTATTATTAATTTTTATAATTTTATCTTTTATATTGTTTCGCTCAAACACGTTATATTATAATTTAAGAAATATATCAACATATATTTATATTATTATTATATTATCACTATATAAGAAATTCTTCTAAACATATTACTATTACTTTTATTATGCGCCTTAACGCAGACCGCAGACCTTCATCAAAATCAGTTTTACTAGTAAAGTTGTGTGAAACTAGATGGGTAGAATCTCACGAGGCGATTATTCGGTTTTCCGATATGCTTATACCTATTGTAAAATTTTTGGAAGACATGACAGTTAATACGGATGGAAATAAATTTTCTAAATGTAACGGAGTTCTTCATTCAATATTGACGTTTGAATTTATTTTGTCCTTAGAATTAGCAGTAGAAATATTGTCTTTGACTTTGCCAATATCACGTAAATTACAAGACCCTGGTTTGGATTTGACTATATGTATTGAAATCATACAGACTGTATTAGATGTTCTTAAAAACAAAAGACAAAATGCAACATTTAATAACATTTATAATCGAGCCGTATCAAAAGCCGAAAATTTAAATATTGAAGTTAAAACACCACGAATATGCAAACGACAAATAAATCGATCAAACAACATTACTTCAAGTCCTGAAGAATATTTTAAAATTACGGTATACTTCAGTTTTGGACAATTTCATAACATCTATTTAATTCATGTTTTTTGACAACCAAAATCCAATATTATTTAAAATCCAACAACTGATACCTTATTATTTACACAATAAATCTGAAGAACATATTATAGAAGGTGATACTTTTTATGCAGCAGATTTGCCTCGATCCATAGACGAATTAAAAGGTAAAAACAATTATTATAATAAATCACTATTACATTTTTGAAATAAATTATAAATGCATAATTACAATTATTTACAGGTGAAATTGCATTATGGCAGCTGCATTGGACTCAACAACCAATAAAAAAGGAAAAAATAAATACAGCAATAGACGCATTCAAAGAAACTGAAGATGGGTATTTTCCAAACATTCGTCAACTTTTACTAATTTTAGCAATATTACCAGTAACAACATCGACAAGTGAGCGGTCTTTCTCGACGCTAAAACGCATAAAAACATAGGTACTTGAGAACAACAATGGGGGAAAACCGTTTAAACGGGTTAGCTTTGCTTAATATCCATAAACAAATTGATGTAAAACCTGAAGAAGTGTTAGATATGTTTTCAAAATCTAATCCTAGGAAATTACAATTATATTTATCGTTATAAATTTTTTACAATATTATTATAATTTAAATATAATCTTTAACAAATAAAAAAAATACACATTTAAAATTATTGTCTATTTGTATGTATTTGTTAATTACTGAAAACATTTAAGACTTGCGTTTTGGACTATGCCTCCCCCCCAAAAAAAAAAATTAAATCCTGGATACGCCACTGGTAATGACACTAAGTCGTGTTCATATGTATTTTATTACTAATATTAAATTAAGTATTTAACGTATGTCTTGCGCTAAGGCAGCAGCAGACATAACAGTTCTCGTGGCAACGAATTAAAACGATTCACTATAATTTTGGATTAAAATTTCTAGAACGAATCAGTTTATACGACGTCACTCATGGCAAACATTTATAAACAAAAATGTCCATCTGAAATGTCAAAATTCCCATTTGAGCACCTTCCGGGGTTGATCCTCCCCTTTTTTAAATAAGCCTATATTTTAAGTTCGGCCAAAATACACACATTGTAAAAATGTCTACAATTTCGGTCCAGTAGTTTCGGAGTTTATCACGGACAAAGACGTGACACGAGATTTTTATATATATAAGATATCGTTGTTGAATATACTATACGCGTATATTCCAGTGCAAAAAATTATACCTATACTCTGTTCCAAAAGAGAACGGTCACTTTTCGAACATACAACTTACGGCTATGGCAGTGCAAAGGCCCAACATCCACCACCTTGCTAGCAGACGTTTCTCGAAGATGTTGACGATTGCCGGCTAGAAAAGGGGAGGGGAATTTTGGCCTTTGCACTGCCGCAGCCGTCAGTGTTACGCGAAAAGTGACCGTTCTCTTTTGGAACAGAGTATACATCATCTAATGCCATTATTTATTTCAATATATTATACTATTATTGATTTGTCCACATAGGTACCTATCACAGATAGATATAATTCATTAAAATATTATTCAATGTCATTAAAAACACTTGATATAAAATATTGTACAAAACAATTGTAACATAAAATTATTTGTATGGGTACTCACTTTGCACATACACGTGTAACACAATATGTTCTTGATGGTGGGCACGTTTACTCTTTCGCCTTCGTTGAAGCAGCTTTCGGCGTAACCTGAAACACATACCAAAACGATACTACTTAGTATATATTTCAAAAAATATAATAATATATTACGTAGGTATATGGCATTATAATAATATGCATCTTCGCATCTTTGGTGGATGCGTTTGGAGGGTTGGTGATCGGAAATATATTCCCGTCACCAAAACAACGAATAATCATATAGTCATATTATTATAATACATATAGGTAAATATACGCATTATTATATAACTGCAGACACCACTATTTTTATAGTACAAACAACTGTTTTGTTTTTTCCGTGTAGACCCGGCCCCGTGGTCAAATTCATCGACACACACTCCTCTCGGCTTTCTTAGGTCTCGCTCTCTCTCCTACCAATAATCCAAAGAAAAAAAACAATAATTTACAGAGACTAGACGGATCACGGAAAAAACAAAACAGTTACAAGTACAATAAAAATAGAGCGATTGACTGTACATTATAGTAATTCGAACTGAAATATGCCATTTTAACTATATTTTTTTGTTAATTCCAACATTAAGAATTGCATTAACTATAAAATATAGTAAATCATTTTAGTTATGTTACTTATTAAATAGTTATATTTACATTAGTAGTAGTAAAGGAATTTATTTTATGAAAAATCCATATTTTAAAAAATCTATATTTGATAAAATATGTTAAAGGGAACGCAGCAGACGTATTTTTGATGCGTTTTATAGACCAATAAGCGGTAGTAAATTACACATACTTCGGAATGTCCGATTATAATTTTTTATACATGTATGAACTCTTTGACAAAATATCTAAGTTATTTAGGAAGTAGATTTTTAATTTTCAATTTTAAAGGACCTTAAAATAACGATTTTTTTTTCAAAAATCTCATGAAATAATTGCATTACATTTGTATTTATTTTGGGCACATCTAATTTTAAATCAAAAAACTGATTCCTAAAGAGCATAGTCTAGAAGTTTATAAATTCAACCATATTTTCAAAATTACAATCGGACTTCAGGAAGTATGTTTAATTTACTACCGCTTTCAGTAGTTTTTATAGCATTGCAAACATGAATATATTTCATTTTTCGTAAATTATTGACATGTGCCTGCGCGTGCGATAGTTTATTTCGGCGGCGCGGCTGCCGACGGGCCGTGATAGATTCTCGGAAAGTCAGAATCAATTAGCCGATAAGGATTATTAGATAGGTATAGAACATTTCTAATGGGTGACAATAATAATAGTCAGTAATAATAATTATATTTTTACAAATTTAATACAACAAACATATATTTAAATTTTAAGGAAATACAAAGTATAAAAATACTACCTATGATTTATGAATCATTTGATTTCAACAAACACGACACGCCGATCAGTAAGGTTATCTGTAAGTTTTGTGTGATTTTTAATTTTTTTTTTACAAAATGGGTTAAGATTGGCGTTATGGGAGAAAAGCTAGACGTAAGTTAAGAGCACCTAAAATAAAAAAACATCGATAGCAAAATTTACAGAATAAAAAAAGTGATATACATAATAATTTCTAAAATTGGTAAAATAATGTGGTAAATATTTTGGAAAAGAAATTTTTTTTCCTTTTTTTTTGGTTACATGGTTTTAGAATTAATTGATTTAATATGAGAACGTGAGTGTCCTTTTCCAATCGGGGATGGCTTGTAATACTACTTTTTTAAATGGTTTTATTTGTATAAAAAAGTCAAGTAATGTAATAGTTAATAACTATGAAATAACAAAGTGATTCTCTTGTAGTCTTGTGTAGTATAATGTAATTGTACATTTTTGCGAATTGCAGCGAAAGCCGAGTAGTGAGTAGGTAATATAATAGTAAAAAATAACGCGCGCAATTGATCATAATCGGAGTTAAACGATTGCGGCCCGAATTCAGGTAGTCGTTTTTTATAACAAATATAAGTATCCCGATTGCGTCCAAAGACACATTGGTTCACAAAATACCTTATAATTAATATATATATATAATAATATGTTTAATCACCAAATAATAAAGTATTTCAAATTTATTATGAAACAAGTATAAGGTATAAAATTTATTTAAATACATGGCAAGTATATTTTGTATTTTAAATACTTTCTGAATGGATGTATTTGTATACAATTTTAAAAGTATATATATATACAAAATGTCAAATATTAAAATAATAAATTGTTTACAATAAAAAAAAGACATGAAATATAATTAATTTGTGTCAATAAATAGGTACCTAGTCGAATATTAAAATAATAAATTGTTTACAATAAAAAAATATGTGAAATACAAATAATATGTCAATGAATAGTAAAATAATTATAGTGTTAGAGGCAGATTTTTAAAACTTATTATTTTTACAAAATCAAAATTAGATATTTCCAAGTTTTTTAATTTTGTAATTTGGGTAAGTATGAATTTTTTTTTATTAATTTGTTTAGTTGTTTCCCGAGGAGTACAAACAATAGATTAGATATACGATAGTTATATTTATGTCAATATACGTATCGGACGCAATCGGGATATTTATTTAGTTTTGATAACCACTTAAATATTATTTCCTACCTAATATGGACGGGCCGCAATCGGGATAGGTGAAAAGGTAAAAAGTTTACTTTGGGCCGCAATTGGGCGACGCCCATCATAATATATTGTCATTTTTATAGCATTTTAATTATACGTAGTTCTGGGAATTCGTAATACTGTCAACCGATAGTCCGAGGCACGCGATAATGGATTACCCACACTAATGTTCATTTACTACTCACACATAGACAATAGACATAGCCCAAATGTTCATGTTATGTGAATTGCCTAAATATTACTCCTTAAAACATGATACGCTGGAGCCCCCTTAATAAAAAGACAGTTTGATAAAAAAATCAATATTATAAATAAAACACAGATAATTAATAAAAAATCTATTAAATAAAAATAATGTTCAATTATATAAAAAGAACTAAATTTGATATAAAGAATATAATAATATATATTATGTAATAAAAAGAATTGATAAAAATATTTACTTGATGAACATAATCAGTATTTGATAAATAACATTTCTTAAATAATCTATATTTAACAAAGATTCTAAATGGAATAAAAAAATCTTAATATAAAGATTTTATTTGATAAAAATTCAAAATTTCAGAAATCTATAATATATTTTGATAAGAAAATTTTAAGGGGCCTGCCCGTGACTGTTTTTTGCTCAAAAACATGCCTTACAGGAAAATTCTCACGCCTCGTAGAGTGATCCGATTTGGATAATTTATTTTTTATTTAATGAAAAATGCTTCTTACCTAACCTAACCTAGCCCTGGAAGTACTTCGAAGTTTAATGGGCCCTGTAGAACATTCTCCTCTTTCCAACGAAGAAAAAACTAATCAAATCAGACCAATCTACGATGCGCGAGAGTTTTTCCTGTAAAGCTTATTTTGAGCAAAAATCATGCATTTTATTTTTGGTCGGCGGTGGCGTTGACATGTGCGCACGTTCAGTGCGTGCATTGATGGCCTGGTACCCGCATACAATCAAACTCACACTAATCATCATTGACGACTAACTATATATCGCCTAAATATTGCCCCTTATTAAAGACACAAGACCAGGTCACTTAATATAAAATCATTTTATGTAAACATATTATTAAATAAAAATCTTAATAAAAATTTTGTTTAAAAAATCTACACTTCAAAAAAAATATTTTATAAAAAATTTAAATTGAATAACAATTGTTAACAAACATTCTAAATTTGTTAAAAATATATATTTAATAAAAATAATATGTATTGAATAATAAAAAAGTAAAAATATCACAATTATTCTGAAGTGTCTAATAAGTAATAAGTCAAAATCAGCCAACGTATAGTTGGGCGGATTGCTGGACTCGGTCATAGTGGAGGGCTTCGTGAACTTGGCCCCCCGAAACTTATTTTTGACTTAACGGCCGAGGAAATTGTTTACAAATTTGGTTATTGAATTTACAATTAACCTACAATTGTTTGCAATAATTTTGAAATTGTTTGCACTAAGTCGGGGGGCCATTTTCATGTACGTTTGTTTTTGTCGTTTTATTCTTATGTTTCAGTTTGCGATGTGGGAGATTTGCTATGGAAATTTAAAAACCACCGTGCACACGTCGGAGGAGACTTAAGTTAACGACATATATTATATTATTATATTATCATGTATTGTCGTCGTCGTCCCGTGTTGGGTCGCTACAAGACCTACCCATATTCGTCGGCCAATTTTTCGTAAAGGATTGGTATTGCCAACCTCACCCGGAGGTTAGTAAAGACTTCAAATTTATCACGGCGATTTCATCAGAACCGATAACACACACACTGCACAATATCTGTCTATCCGTCCGTCGGCGTAATTATGTGCGCACTTTGGATTTGTCTATATAATACTCGATCGGCCATTTTTGTGAAACGGATAAAAAAAAGATAATATAAAGTACTGTATTGGTACAATATTATTCAAACTTTGAAAAAAAAAAAACCACGAAACTTATAATAACATTCAGATTATTAATTCCTTATCGCCAATATTTGTTTTATTTTGTATTGTTTCGTTTTTGTGAGTTTTTGCTTTAGCAAATTACAATTGCCTTCATTTTCAATTTCATACTCCGTGAAATGGTATGTTTTTCTGAAGGTTTTAGTATTATGTAAAAATGTGTATGCGACGATAAATTATTATGTATAGGTAGAGGTACCTATACATAATCGTACGAGCATAAAAATGTACGCGCAATTTTTTCATCTCTTCGTTTCGAGCTGTCTTCGAGTATTTACCCTTTTCTGAAACGCCATAACATGTGTTCTGTTACAGTGTTACATAGCATTAGTAATATTTAATACTAGGTAATACACCCGAAGAAGGATAAAAAGAAGAATCTTAATCCTCCGCAGAGGCCGGCTATTAACGCGAACAATTTAATCGACAAAAAAACACACACACGCGCTCACGAGTGTATAGTATATCTGAATAAATAATCATAACAAAAAAAAAAAATTCTAAAAAAGAAACTTGCCTCTGAGTTGATTGGCGAGCATCCCGACGGGCAACAGCAGCCAAACGGCCGCGGCGACGGCGATTATTCGCCAGCGGTCCATGGCTCAGCAGCACTCCTGGTCAACCTGAAAGCAAAACCCCAAGCAAATTAAATTACTGCACTGCTCCACTAATGCTAACCAACGCCCAAAGCGTGGATTTCGGCATAATAATAACTTGTTTTGTCCTTTTTATTCTTAATATTGTCATTATTTTATATTTTATTTCGAGCGGTTCCTTCTAATCTTGAGAACGTACTATAGCAATATGATATAATAATAATAATATATGTGTGGTGTATGCATATTATAATGTATTATAGATATATATACGTATACAATAAACCTTTCGTAAGGACGACAATACGAATCATGCGATTAAAATCGCATCCGAATAATTATTATTATTATCATTATTATTGTGATTGTCCTCACTACTCGAACACATAAACTTATAGGGTTATATATATACGTTTGGTTGGCTGTTTTGACGTTCCGAGAAGCTGCACATAAAAAGACAGAGGGTGGAGTGGACGAGAAGGAGCGGTAGTAATCGATCAGACAAAGATTATACGAAGACGACGTTGCTTTTTAGCTGTCACGGTGCGTTTTTTGTGTGCGTGTATGTCAAAATAACCATTACCTAGCCGCTTTGTTATCCCAAGAAACGTTTTTAATTTTTTTTTTCTTATTTTTCTATTGCTTATTAAGGCGCGTCTAGACGGAGCAGCTTTTGGCCCTCGGCACGGCCACCGGCGGCTCCGTACCGCGAGGCAAATATGCGTCCACACGGTGCGGCTTTTGAAAAAAGTTTGTTCCGCTACTAATTACTTAAAAAATAATTTAAAAACTCAAAAAATAAGTACTGATGAGAGGCGACTTTGCCGAAAATACGTCCACACACACGCGGCATAGGCGTGCGGCACAAGCCACGCGGCTTTCCTTTGATGTAGAAAAAAAACATCGATCGGAAATTATACAGCGGGGCATCAAGAAAAGTCGCGAAAAATGTATTTATGTATTCATACTCATGCCGCGCGGCAAAAGATGCTCCGTCTGGAAGCGCCTTTATATACCTACGAGTATACGCCGTACACTTTATAAACACAATGTGTTCCCATACACACTCACGTACATACACGTACCTATGATATTCTTTACTTTATAAGATTATAGTATAGGTACATTTTTCCCTTCTGCTTATGCTTTTTTTCCTTTTATGTATTCTTTTTATTAGGGGTATACCTATACCTACAGTCTTAAGTTTTAAATGTTAAAACTATTTATGACTTATGTCATTATAATATTGTTTAGGTAGGTACATGAGTAGGTACATTTCACAATTTGTCATATTATAAATTTTAATTGGAATACCTAATATCCATAATCAAATAGTATTATCATTATTTTAATTTTTGCTTTTAATAAATTGTTTTTATTTAAGGAAATTCTCTGCTTAATTCTATTTGATTATTGATGAAAAGGAATTGGATTCAATTGAAGAATTTGCAAAAGAAGCTTACCCAATCTCATTGACTCAGTTGAATATGCATCTTATTATGGAATTTTTAATAATAATATAAAACAAATTTCAGATTCTTAGTAGTTTTCGCAAAAGAATTTTAATGGTACCTGAATTCTATAAAACCAAATTTTCAAAAAGAAATCCTGATGTCACACTTAAGCGAACATTTTCAAATATGAAGCATGTTTGAGTAAAAAAAAACGTTGTGTCTAGAGCGCAGGGCGCCCGGGCATGTAATAGATTACCGGATAGAACCCGGTTACACTGTATAGCGCCGGGCGCCCGGTTACACTTACCGGGTCACACTGTAAATTACCTGTTGAGTATCACACCAAACAGCATTGGGCGTGTAATTTAAATATTTAATAATAGATTTTTATTAGGAAAATTTAATTGTTTATTTGACTTTTACCTACCTTTATATCCTTTCCATTGTATAACCCTATGATAAGTATAAAGCTGTACTAACCTATACAAGCTGTAAACCTTTTACAAGTTATTCAGTGTTCATCAGTTATTCAGTGTTCATTAGTTTTTCAGTGTTTAAAGGTAAATTATATCTTATATATATAATTATGAAGTTCCAAGATAGCTTTAAATCATTTCAAGAGTTCGAAAGCAGCTTTAGGGTCTACAAAGACGTGAATTTTGTAGATTACTTTATTAAAGACTGCAAGACATTAGTCTCCATAAACGCAAAATTTCCAAATGGTAGAATGGTTACAGCATCAAGTGATTTAAAATATTATTACATCAAATTTTGTTGTGTGCATGGAGGATGCATTACCTATAAGGATTAACGATTTGTCAATCATTGACATTAAATGTAAAAATTAAAATTAAATATTTTGTATGTATTAACTTTCTGTTTATTATTATATAACTATCGGTTTCGTATAGCTGATTACTGTTATTTATTATTTTATTATAATTGTATGTATTAACTAATAAAATAATAATAACTAATACCTAACTAATAACTAATAACTTACTATAACAAAATTAAAATTATAGAACAATGTATTTCTATTTTCTTCGTATTATTATTGTTCTGTGGTATTATCATATTTTCATATTTACAGTGTGACCCGGTGCTCTACAGTGTAACCGGGCGACCGGCGCTCTAGACACAGCGATTATTAAATTGAGTTAAATGCTCATGCACTTATTCAACTTATAAATACACCAGATTTAATGCCTGAATTATTTGTACCGTGGCTTTACAGTTCGCAATCGTGTGAACAGCTCTTTAAGGCTATAAGATCTTTAACACCTACATTAAACAGTGTAATTAATTTCAGTATTAAAAAGCTATTTAACTGTGTTAAACGTATTAAAATTTTAAACACAATATCCAATGAATTATTCCAATCAGATAGTAAAAAAGGAAGGACAGCTTTAGATTTCCACAAAGTGTGAAGCAGTCTTTAGTATCGTCAAATTATCAATGAAATGTACCTAAATACTGACAACTTTAATGTAAATATTCTAGATATTGTTATAAAAGACTGTTAAGTATTATTAATTACACTTGGTACCTAAAATGACTGAAGAGGATATTATGAATTTTGACGAACAAATATTTAACCTTAATATTGGTAAAACCTAGGGTAAAACAGTTGTGAATACCACTGATGATAATGATGTATCAGATGACAGTGAGGATGAATCAAATGAAAATATTGTTGAATCAAAAAGCAACAGTACAAACAATAATACAGATTTTGACTTTGATGAAGACGATAGCGCTTTAGATTTATGATTTTGATATATATAAACATTGATGTTATTATCAATCAAACGAGACTTTCATTTGACTTTTATTATATTATTTGCAATTTGCAATTTAGGTACAAAAAAAAATAATATCTTCCTAGGTACTTGAGTATTATTATTTTTAATAATATAAAAATATTGTTTATACCTACTAGAATTTATCATTTACAGTGTCAATTTTAATTTCATAACCATTTTCTACCTACATTTATTCCTGTTATAATCAGGGTTATTTTATAATTATTCATTTTTACCAATTTTTGTTAATCAAAAATAATTTTGTTAATTTAATAACAACAAAGTTATTATATGATACCTATTCTGATTATTATTTATAATCTGGATATATATACCTATGTTATACAATTAATATAACTGTATAAAAGTATAATAATAGGTATTATAACATTTGTTGTTTTAGGACTTAAGGGTGATGTCATTATAAAATCATTGAACGAATTATAACAATTTTAAAGCAAAATTTGTTTTAGTTTTATGTAAGATTCTATAAAATAATTCAGTACAACCTAATTTTGGAATATATACGGACATCATTATTCGTAATTATTATGGAAATCTTTAGGTAATCACGGAAATCTTTTGGTAATCTTGGAAATCATTGGGCAATCATAGTAATCTTGAATCAAGTGTACACAATTTGTGCTAGTGATGCCTCAGTATAAACAGCTGGAAATATTATACTATACACTTTTACATAATTTAACGAGTATGGACAGTGAACACGCATTTACGTAAAATGTTGAAATAATAATAATGCATGGTAAATAAATGACAAATCTTACCTTGTACGAATTGTTGTGAAATTCTGGATAAATAATATTTTAATATATTAATGAAGTTCGAATAAATTATTATAATTAATATACACTTTATGATACATACAAAATATAGTAAGAAAACGAATGAATAAATTAACAAAAAATCACAAAACACTGACAAAAATATTTTCGCGTGAAAAAGAAGTTTTATTAAAAATCGTTTGGTTTACAAAAAAACAAAAATCTCTACATTTATATAAATATATTTATTATTATTATTTCGTGTCACACTGTGACGAAATCGCGGTCTTTATAAAATTCTATTAAATTTCACGCGGTAACACGACAACGACGACGACGACAATGTCGCGATTGCGTGTGTGAATACGCACGACACGCTGTACACGACGCTACTACCACCTACAGTACACCGTACCCGTAAGCGGCACGAAAACGTATGGATGATTCTAGCGCCTCCGTTGGAGGTTTCCCGTAGGGCTATCTAAACTACATCACCCTACCGACAAATCGCCACAGGAGGCGCTAGAATCATCCTCACGTTTTCGTGACGCGTACTGTATGCGCCCGCTGCGCCATGGCGGACAACAAGTGGATCGTACCGGCTCGGCGCGGCGCCCAATCGCACACGTGCAATCGGCAACGAGCGCGTGCGCGTCTCGATCGTATTTTCTACGGGTCCTCCTTTTATTTTTGTTTATGTCTGTCATCACCTTTTAGGACAGTAAAAGTGCTTGGATTTTCTTCAACAGTATCTTTTCTGATAGTAAAGTGAATCTAGTTGGTCAAAAGTAAAAATTTCTCAGTAGTTTTCAAAAGCGAAGTGAAAAAACAAAAGAAAAATTAAGGAATAACGGGAATTTTTACGCAAAATCTGTTTTCGAGAAAATCGATTTTGGTTTATGGTGTAACTCTAAAACAAATTACATTAGATACATGATTTTTTTACTAACTGTTCTTATTAG